GCGTGAACAGGCCAACGGGAACCTCGTGGCCAAGCGGGTTCACCACCTTGCCGAGCACGCCCGAACCCACAGGGATGTGCAGCAGCTGCCCTGTCGCCATCACCTTCTGCCCAGACTGCACCTCCGTGATGTTGTCCATCAAAATAATGCCGATGCGGCCATCCTTCTCCAGGTTGAACACAAGGCCCGCAGCGAACGTCGTCGGGTTCACCTGGATCTGAATGATGGTGTTGTAGGCCACTCCAGGGTTGCCAGGGGCCGGTATGAGCGTGGCAATGGTGCCGTCGATAGAGTGCACGTAGCCAATCATCTCTGTCACCTTGAAGAACGACTTCTGCCCCGCAGCAGCTGAGGCAGCAGCGGCGACTGGGGCAGCAGCCTTCGCGCCCCCTGCCGGGGGGGCTGTGGAGGCGAGGCGTGCCGGCAGAGCCGCAGCAAACTTGGAAACAAAACGGCGCATGCCACTTGGTGTGTTGAAGACTTCTAAATCTGGGGGAGAAATAAAAAAAAAAAGTAGAAGTTTACTTTAACGTGAATGTATAGTTAAGATATATATTTATATACATGTCTTTGGATGTCTGACATTATTGGCTGCCAAATGGGATGTGGATAATGGCGTCGGAGAAGAGGGATATGGAGAGAAAGGAATGCCCCACGTGAAATACAGACGGGCTGATGCGTTAGTTGCTACTCCTGCCGAATATGCTCCCATGGCGGCTCCGTACCCCCCTCCCCCGTCTTGTTTTTTTTTTTCCGTCGTCCTACTCTGTTATAGAAGTCGCCATTACGATGTCTTTTTATCATCTTGTGCTTTTGTTGTTGTTGTTGTTGTTGTTGTTGTGTGCGCATTACTGCGTCCTCCTACATATGCCTAAGCACCATACCGCGTTTGTGATTGGGTTGCCAGTTCTTGTTGATTTCCTCAACAAAGACAGATGTGGGCTCCAACGACGGAAACACGGAGCGACGCCCTATGAGGACGCAAATGATGAAGATAAACAAACACTTTGTGAAGGCGCGGGAGAAGAGTATAACGTCTTTGACGCCTATACTAGCCACCGATAAAGTTCCCCCGGTTATATAGCTTAGCTCGCTGAAAAACCGCGTCTTACGATACGACAGAAGCGCCTTCTGGTACGACCAGTACTCGTGCCAAACACTGGCGCAGAGGTCCTCGCCTGACTTGTTGTGATGCTGAATATGCCGCTTCAGCGGCTCATCCATGCGGTCGATGCGGCTGTCCATCGAGGCTACAAGCGCGACAAAGGGCCTCGCCAGGGCCTTTCTTAGCCCCATTGCACGATCTTACGTTCCCTACAATCTGCTGTACAAGGTGAAACAAAGATTGAAGTGAGGTGCACAACGCAGATGACAACGAGACGCCTCAACACATTGTTATTATTGTCTTCACACGCCCCGTGTTGATATCGCCAGTGTTGTGGTGTGCTATCGCGGACACGCAGTCACGGCTCAGAGGGCCGAAAAGAGGAAGGGAAATACCAACACGCGAGAGAAGCTGCAATAGCGGGAAAATACTAATCCCACTAGACCACAATAACAGGCAAGCTGCAACACACAGTTCTTTGGTCCATGTAACCCACCCAATCTCCAAGGTGCAAGTTAATATGTAGGTCTCTCGCAACGTTCCCTAATCGCCCGTTCGCCCACACACATACACCAGCTTTTTCTTTTCTTTTCTTCGTATCGATTCGAATTGACTAGATGACCCCGCACGTTAATCCCGCATTTTAGAAGACCTTCCTTCCCAATGAACGGGGCTGTGAAAAAAAAAATATCCCCCCCCCCCCCCTTCCCGCCGCTATGGGGAGACTACAGTGAAGCACATGCAAAGCATATACACCCCGCCCAGCTCCGCAGCACAAGCGCTGTGGAGCACCGCTTTCACTTCCTGCCGCTGAGAACAACATCAACGACAACCTGTACAGCAAACGGTCAAGAAACCACAAAAAAATAATAAAAAAGAGAAGGTTGCCTACCAGGAAGCATCCGCGACTTGTTGCATCTGTAAAGGGGCGTTGTGCCCTTTCCTCCACACCAAAGTGCTGTTTTGGGTGGACAGAGACTTTTCAGTCTCAAGAAAGTGCCCCTGCTTTTCCGTGAAGCATAGCTTTTATACTCCCCTGCTCCCTATTCCGTGCCTTTGCTCAGGCTGGTCCAGGCACAGCTCTTCAACACGGTGCGCGTCGGCTGGTCCTCCGTTGCCCGGTCGGTGTCCGTAACGAACTATGCGGTGACCGGTACGAGCGTCTTTGTTACAACACTGAAAAAGCGCACTCTGAACACCAAATATCGACAAGAGTCGCTCCCACAGGAAGGCCCCCGTCGTTAAGCAACTTGCACTTGCTAGACCTCCGAAAACCGTAACATTACCAAACAGATTACAATTTGCGTCATACTTCAATGAGGAAAAACACCTCGTCTTTTAATTCCACAAGGTAATATTTGCACTTCCACTTGAAAAGGTGGCACGTATACGCCGCACCAATTGTGCACCCAGCAGCAAAGATACAACCGTACTTATTAGTTATCATTTTCCGCGCTTTGCATTGAAGCGTGAGCCGCAGCTGCAGCCAAACCACTGACGCTTCCCGCAAGAAAGCTCAGAGACACTGAAAGAACAAGGCTGGATCCATGATAAATTTTGACCAAAATCGCTGGACACGTTAATATTATACCAGAGACAGAAACTACCAAAACCATGAGAGAAACCTCGAGGGCAACATACGCCATTGAAAGAGCAGGGATACAAAACTCGATTGCGGCCCTGACAAAACAGAGACAGAAAACAGCTTCACATCCCGCATAGACAGAAATAAAACCACTGAAAACAGTTCCAGCAGTTTAAGCAATACTCAACCAGGCCAACAAACGCCCAGTGGCGTTGGAGTCAATAGGATCGAAGGTATGATACACACAGCCTTATCCTCTCCCATAGCAAGCGCCAAGAGCATAGGAAGATACATGGCAGTGGAGAAACTAAAACGATAAAGGATCATAGTGGCAAATGATACCATCAACATCGACGCAAAAATCATACGTGAAACCTCCGTAAGACGCAAATGGGCATTACAAAAGCTTCTTGCTTCTGAAGCAGGACTGGTTCATAAAGTAACTCGACTCCAGAGCCCATGTATGCATTTAGTAGTGACTGTCATCGTTTTCCAATCAATAATACACAAATAACATCTGCGCCAACAAGTGTTGAAAAAAAAAAAAACGTTATCCTCCAGCCACACAGGTTCAAAAGGGCCTCACAATGAAGCGGAAAAACAAGGCTTCCACATCCGGTTCCAGCAGATACGATACCAATAGCTGTGATCTGGAGCTTGCCAATCCAGGAAGAAGTCACCGCAACTGCAGGGCTGATCATCATCCAAGTACTAAAGGATAAAGGAAGGGCACAATGACTTGCCACTCCAACGATAGTTTTTGCCCCAAAAAGCACTTGCCAAAAGACTTAGAGGGCAGCCGTCACGCCCAAAAACAGAAGACAGTAATGAAAACAATCATATAAAAATCCACCTAAAAATACCTCACACAGAGATCGGTTCCATCGCAATAGAATTGCCTAGACTTAACTCGGTCTGTGAAGGGTACGCCAAAGTCGCATCATTCATCATACTGCCCAAAAACACAGTAAAAGAGTTCATGGTGCCAAAAATTGCAAAATTCATTAAAACTGCCCCAAAAGTAACCATCCATCCGATCGTGCGGTCTAGAGGCTCTGCTCCGTACAAGGCTAAATTACAAACTTCAAAGGAAAAAGAAACAAAAAAAAATGAAATAAAAAACATAAGTAGAGAAAAGCAAATAGACAAAAAAAATTTTTATTATTTTTTTTACGAAAATTACCACATAAAACAAAACTCCATTTGGATTTATTCAACATGTAACAAACAAACTAAAAATACCACAAAAATGCCAGTACGATACCACTCTTAAAGCGTCCTCATAGGTATAGTTAAATCTATTGCCAACTTCAAAAGAGTCATAACCCGAATACCTCACTTCGAAGTGAAGTAAATTGAAGAAAACTAAATAAATAATAACTTGTTTTCGAGACTTCCTATGTGAGTAAAAAGAGCTTCTGTGTAGAGGATGACCTTCATCCTCAAATAAGCACACAACTGCAGCAAAACAAAAACAAATAAATAAAGAAGAAAAAATTTCAAAATCAATAATAAGTACAACATTAAAGGTCACAGTTTAAATCCCCAACACAGATGCACGTTATAATAACTTATTCGTATTCCCTCATAGAGCTGCCTTTGTCATAATTTACTCCCTACTTCTGAAGCTTACACGTTCATTATTCATTTTTTAGCGGCAGCAAGGAAACGATTCCATAAATCATCATCATCATCATCATTATCGTTACTCAACTTCATGATTCGAGAGGCTTTGCCGGCAGATTCTGATCTGGCCTTCCTTCGTTCTTCTTTCTGTTTTATACAATTCAGCTCCGAAGTATAAGTAGCGACTGTCGCATGAATATTAGGCTCTTTTTTACCCCTTTGAGTTTGTCTTGTAGTGGAAGCGTCAACCTCAGAAGCATTCTCACTATGCTGCGATTCAGCATCCTCATCCGTTTCCTCATTACGATCCATGGCACCATCCACAATGTTAAACGTACCATAATGCTCAATTAGCTTCATATGTTTTGCTTCTGGAAGTTCCAAAGCATCACGATAGTGCTTATTAGAGTCAAAGGGCGGAGCACTGAACCAGGGGATCCGTCCTCTCTGCCAATCGTAGAGAACCATACGCGCTGCAGCTTCTGTATCGGGCTGTCCTCCAGTAACAAGTTTTCCCCTAAGCTTTGCCAGTTTTTCAAGAAATTCATTCGCATCTCTCCATTCAGAAACACCATAGGTGGTGACTATGTCTTTGGGTTTCACAATCTCAAGAACGGTGTGTACAACGTCAGTCTTGTCCGCATTCCCCAAGCGTTCTACACGCACAACACCTTTTAAAACAGCCTGAACATCATTGTTTGTTTCACGATCATAAATAACACCAGGGCAGTCAATAAGAAAAATAGTTCTCGTAAGAGCAACATACTGCCACACTTTTGTTTCTCCTGGAATAGGGGCCACCTTACAAACAGATTTACGCCGAAGGGTATTAATCAAAGAACTCTTACCAACGTTAGGATAGCCAATCACACCCACAGAAATAGGTGTCTTTGTTCGCTTGCTACCGCGATGAGTAACGTTTTGCAATTTCGCAAATTGTCGAAGAAGCGAAATCAGACTACCTTTACCAAACGGATGATTAACACTTGCATGAAATGCCACAGTTGGGTAGTCTTTGCTTAAGACTTGAAGCCATCGAGCAGTAGCCCACAAAGGAATAAGATCACATTTATTCAATACAAAAATAAAATGTTTGTATTTCTTTTCTTTGCGCATATATTCTTCAAGAAAAGAACTTCGAGTTCCTAATGGATCCCGGGCATCCAGTACGTAAAGAACCACATCTGAACTATCAATTACTTTGTAAAGTTCATTCCAAATACGGTTGGATTGACCTTTTGTAAATAAAATTCGATTTTTGGAACGATCCTCGCGTAACTTTTCCTCATTATTAACAAGATTTCGATCGGATCCTTTTTTCTCCGTTAAATACTCATCGCCTTTTAATACAGCCCTCTTTGCAAAACCCTCCATATCAACGGAATCAAGGCGAACGCGTTTCCGACTGGCCTTCTCCCCAAAGGTTTTGTCCCACTCCATCTGCTGACGAACACTGCCCTCGTTCACCCCACTTGGCTCAAGAAGACTTAATGGAAGTTTGGATTGCTTAATAATAACACTGTAGGGATCTCTGTACTTTGCACCCATTTCCTTCCGAAAGGTTTGTAAGGCCTCTTGGCCAATAACTCTAGTGTTACCGAACCAACGACGATCAGGTGCAACACGAACCATTTGTTGTTCAACACGGTCAGACGCCGCTAAGACACTTCCTTTGACAATATGACCCTTTTCATCACGTACTATCCTGGATTTATACATTTTTAAGCGTTTAATGGTGCGCTGATCACGCAAACTGGTTTTGTTAGCATCGACACGACGATTCACATTGGTAGGTGGAAGCAACCCCTTTCCAGCCTTTTTCCCAGGTTTACCCATTTTTTTTTCCTCTTATATATATATATATATATATATATATATTAACTAATA